ATGATGATGATGATGATGATGATGATGACTTGCTGCCATATGATCTTGACGAAGATGGTGATACAAGTAGCAAGTCCAACTTGCCTAAGTTCCTACGTGATTGTATTGAGGGTCTCATAGCATCAGAAGATCCATCTAAGACTGAGGCTTCTTTAAGATCTGTGGAGCAACTTGTTTGTGCTGAGCTGGACGACCTCGAAGATGTTTGTGTAGAACTAGTGAAAGTGTTGCTTCACCTTGAAGATCGCTATTCCACTGATAAGTTTTATGAAATTCGTCACAATGCAATGGTGTCTGTGACCATCAGGTGTCCTCAGCAGATTGCTTGCTATTTGACAGAAGAATGTTTTGCTCCTAACTACAATTTGCAACAGCGGATGGACATGCTGAATGTTCTCGCTGATGCTGCACGGCAACTCTCAGCCCCAACAGAAATTTCCAAAACAAGAGCAGTGCCAAGAAAATTTCCACTCCCACAAGCAGACTCACTTAAATCTCTACAAGCTGTTCCAGAGTGGCAAAAGATTGTTCAAGAGAGAATTGAAGGAAAAACAAAGAGGATTAGCAAAGGGCCATCCTGTCCACAGCCCAAAGGTGTTGTAAATAAGTTTGCTGGTGTGGCTGGATTTTTCTTTTTCCCTCTAATGAAGAACTTTGATGTGAAAGTGAACACATTAGACCTACTGGGAGATGACACGCTTGTCCTTGGCAGGCTTGTTTACACTCTCGGTATAATCATGTACTCTGCTCGGGACACACCTGTAGCAAGGAACATGGGAGTGGCCTTGTTGGAGTTTACTTGGGCCCTGAAGTATCACAAAGAACCATTTGTGCGTCAAGCACTCATCTTTGCACAGGCCATGGTTGCTGTTTCTGTTCCATCGTCGACGCTGATGAGTGATGCTCCAGGGGAACTCTTTGAGCTCCATAACTGGTTGAAGACAACTGTGGAGAGTGATACTGATGTTGACAGTGTCAAGGCGGCTTTACAGACTCTAGTTTTGTTAGAAGAAATCTTTAAGAATGAAGTTACCCTGCATGGTTGATCACAGAATATTGTTGTGATCTACTTAAAGCTACTGGTGCTAATTTCATGCACAGTTGACATGAAATTTTAAGTTGACAAGAATTGAGTTACCAGCATATGTAGCATTGGCAATACAGCAATAGTAATGACATGATAGAAAAGCTAGCTTTTACAAATATTTACAATACATATTCTTGAAACAGGGGCGCAGCCAGGATTTTAAAAAAAAGGGGGGGAGGTCACACTGGGTCAAAGTGAGGGTACTCACCAGATTTTCATGTCATTCTCTCCGCCTGTTGTAGGTTGTTTGCATAAAAAAGGCTTACAAAGGGGGTATCATGGGCACCCCAGGACCCCCTAGCTATGCCCCTGTGAAACACTGCTTTTTAGAAACTGTTCTAATTTGCATCTGGTCACCTACAAATGTGACTGGGCATTTGTGCTTGATTGCTGTTAAGTTCTTATTTTAGAGGACAAAACATCTATAAGTTGATTATTGACCTGTGAATGTTGCAATGTTGGCTGTTAGTGGCTAATTATTACATTGAAGCTGGCATAGGTGGCATGTTTTGATTGGGACACTGCAAAAGCGGGCAGCAAAGCTGTGAGGAAATTATCATGATTGGACCTCAACTTCACTGTCCTCCATTCTCGTGGTGTCTTTGCAGTTGCACACAAAATACTGCCTGCCATACAGGCTAGGCTAGCGTTGGGTTATTCTGTTTAAAAGGTTTTTTCTGCCGATGTGTTGAAGAAANCACACAAAATACTGCCTGCCATACAGGCTAGGCTAGCGTTGGGTTATTCTGTTTAAAAGGTTTTTTCTGCTGATGTGTTGAAGAAAAGGTCAATTGTTGTGCAATTGCAAAAAGTAAAGGAACAGACAAAATCCATGTGTTTCTTAGCTAATTTATGTACTGCAAGAGATCTACAGAGTTTGCAATAGTTTGGCACTGCTCCAGTAAAGTTGTTCCAGGTTTGATTACTTAAGTAAATGTCTTTTTTGGCTGTTTGAAAGTTAATCAAGGTGGATGTGATAATATTTCTGCTAGTCCACATTGTTTTTCTTAGCATATGGCCACCAGTGTTGGCAATTGCTTAACAACTTTCGCTGCAGTAGCACATAATGATTAGAGAATTACCCTGTGTACCAGACATTTCCATTCCTTTTCGAGGTGGGGGAGACTGAACAAGTGACTGAGCAAACGAGTGTGCTTGGGGTGAGCTATAATGGGGAGAAGTGGGGAGGGGGTGAGCGAGAAGAGGGAGGGGGGCTGGTGTTACATTTTCTCCCAGATCAAGAGGTGATCATTTATTATGCTCACTCTCATGACATGCGTGATTAATAATATAACATGAAATAAATGGACTCATATTGATCAGTTCTGGGGTAAAATAGTGTAATTCCAAAGTCACTATCAAAATTTTCCCTTAGTATTTACAGATGGCTCTTTCATGGTATTTATTAGAGGAAATTATATAAGTTCTTGACAGAATAGAAACTACACTATGGTCAACAGGATCATTAGGGGTTGTGGGGCTAAATGTAGATCACTAAGCAAAGGGAATGAAAAGAACTGCCTCAAAGAGACATTTTGCCTTTGAATGATTTTTTTTCTCCAAGTGAGTCAACTTTAATTTTTTTTATCATAGAAAATATATGAAAGAGCCCAAATTTTCTCATTATTTGTATTATTCTCCCAGACTTGTCAAAATGGAAGTTTGGGGGATACCCTCGGGATATTTGGCAACAGTTGTAAATTTATTTTGTTGTTGTTGCAAATCTTAAGAACATGAAAAGGACGGAGTGAATTGAACAGGACTCATTATGGTCACCCATAGACAACTTTACAGGGTAAATCCAGAGGATTTTACAAAGGTTCAACTTTGCACAGAATCACAGACCACGTTATTATTATTATTTTTTGTCGCTGGAAACTTCTTTTATCTCAAAAATTAGCATGATAATTCCCGTTTTCACGTCTAATGAGCGTCTGGCTATTGAACCCCTCGAGCACATTGCCACACCTTCTGAAGTCGAGGCTGTGGCGCATGCGTGCATCCGAATCCAAAATGGCGTCCAAAGGAAAGGGTGTATGGATATGGTCGCCTACATGACATTCCATCTCAAGAAATGTCCCGTCTTGCAGATTATTTTGTCGTTTGTGGAATAGACAGGGACTCAAAGAATGGTAAGAAGTCTTTTGATCGGCCTTAACTGCCCGTCTTACTGAGAACACTGTTGTGCAAACATCGCACGCCTCTGGAAATTTCGGAGTTTCTTATGAAACCTGCTTTTCGTTGTTGAATTTTAGAAGAAGTTAAAGGGAAGGTGATACAACGGTTTCCAAGTAAAGACCGCAAAGATGCAACGTTTCCAGAAGGACTCGAACTGGTAAGTGCTATGAATTTTCGTTGAAAGCCGGTTGGTGTAATGTCTACGAGCGAGTGTTGTCCTTGCCCATGCAACATTGTAACACCGCTTCGCGAATTTTCCGTTGGGAACCCTTGCAGTTTTTGTAACACTCAAACACCACTTCAAGGCTGTCGTGTGATACCTCTGAAACAAGGACGTTGGTAATAAATAAGGGCAGCAAGAGAGGCTTTTGTTGAAAGACAACAATAAAACTGGTGCTTTTCAGGTCTTTAGTCACTGATCGCATGATGTTTAGACAAAGTTTGACTATGCATGGGTGGAATCTTCAGCAGGTATTCGTTCAGCAGACTGTTCAAGATTGAAATTTTTTTTTCTTCCATCACGTTACCGGAGAAGGCTTTTACTTTAATTTTGTAGTAACTATGAAGAGGATCATTTTATTGTACCGGTGAAGCTCAATATTGTTTGAACTAGCGCTAGACGCTCCGCTAAAGATCGATCGAATATTATTAAGCTCATTTCAACTTGTTTGCTGAACAATGTTGACGTTCTTACAACTCGTACTCAATTTGTTGTTAGCGGCTGAATTTGGTTTATCGTCTAAGAATATAATTCCCTTTCTTACAGTCTCACAATTGTTTGTTGAATTCAATGTTTTACGTTGAATTATCCTGATGTTCTACCTCAAGCCTTACTAATTCTTCCTTCCCCGCTGTGTACGTATTTAAACGGACATTTTTATCCAGCGTTTAGCGTCCAGGCACAATATTTACTCGATTTGTTTGCAGTTAATTAATCCTTCGTGAGCTCCTCTTGTTATGTTGAGCACGCTTTAAACTCTCGTCTCAACGGATCAAAAAGAATCGGTGCATTCCTGAAATTTCAGCTGATTGATTAAAACATGTTTGTTTATTTCTGTGCTGATTTGCAACGAACATGTATCGGTGAATGTCTGAAGCTGTCAGATTTGGCAGTTCAATTTCTATGCATATGCCAAGAGCTATGCTTCATCTCAAGGAGGTTTGGTAATGAAAGTGTTTTTGTTTTATTTTTGTTTTTTTCTTGGGTGATTTTTGTTTTTGCTTGCTCAGTGAGTGCTTGAGGAAGGAGTACTTCAAGAGGTGACTTTTAAACTCTTTCACATTAGAATTTCAGTCTGCACTTCCTAGTTGGCAAGGGGTCATGAAACCCAAACTTGGAATTTTGTCACAAATTTGTACTTTTTTTTCCCATAAAACTCACATTCCGCTAATCATTACGCTCTGCGGGATGTTTATACCACAAACTAAAGTGGCAGAAATAGTTATTGAATAATGTTGCAGAGATCTCTCATATTATGTTCAGGTAAATTATTTGTTTCACCCTTTGTTTCTTTTGGCCCTGAAAAGCCCCAGTGGGGAATTGGTCAATTAAGGTTATTTAATTAAATTTTTATTTTCTCTCTTTTACCGAAAGACAAAACTATTAAAATGGGAAAACTGTAATAGTTTGTCATTTGTTACGTTAAGTAAATGTTTCAATCCAAGAGTAGCTTGGATTTTGTTTCAAATGAAAGCTACTTAATAAAAAACTCAAAATATGGGCTCAGAGAGATGTATATGACTTCAGTGAAAACAGCTGCCAAATGTTCAGCAGCTTATAATAACTTTTGTAAGTTAGCTGTGTGTCTGTCAGTCTGTGTTAAGTGGTTATGTTATTCATGTCAAATTTATGTCCACAAGGTTTCACAGAATTACATTTTATTCTTGAATGAATCGCCATAAGGTTTGTATGTCGTGTGATGTTTGCTGCCAGGTAATAATGATGTTGTCATGGACATTGTTCACATGTTCACATTTGTGACACCTGAAGACAAAAATCTAGACTCCAAGTAATTATTGTTTCTTGTACTATCAATTACCCTGATTGAAATTAGGAAATTATTCCATTTGATTTTCAGACAGCATGAGAGTAGCAAAGAACTGAGCTTAACAACTGCTAGATAAGTGCAACTGCGACA